AATATAATAATATATATATATATATATATATATATAATGTATTGATGTAGTGAATAATATACCATATGTGAAAAAAAAGTCTGGAAGTTTAATATATATACATGCATCCTTAATGTAAATAAATAAAATTAAAGTTGAAATATTTTGATGATTTTGTGTGTTTCTATCGCATGCATGTTATCATTATTGTAATATATAATTATGAATGTATAAAAGAAAAAACTATTATAATATTTGTTATTAAATAAATAGAGAATTAGTTGGATTTAAGAATAGTATATAAACAAACAATGATACATTGATGATTTGTTTTATATGTTTTATACATCCCACACGTTTAAGGTGGTCAAAGGCAAAATTTGATATCTTTGACTATTGCATGCATGATATGAATATGAATCCTTAACGATGGCATATATACGCGCTTGTGGAGGACTACCAAACCAACAACATGGACAGATATCATCTGTTAATAGTGATGTATGAATACGAATTTGTCTCTCTTTCAGATTCTCACACTACTTTTATCTTTAATCTTGTTGCCTTTCTTATACTTGATCTATTAACGGTGCACATGTGAAGTACGATTAAGGTTAATTATTCCATTTTTCTTCTCTGCTTTTCCACTTCTTATTTTTTGTTTCATAATTACTAACAAAGTATTCTGCATTTTATAATTGGTCATAGAGGAGAAAAGATTTTCCATACATATAATTAATCTGCTGCCCGCTTGATATCATCTCCACAGAATTTATTCGACGAATATCTAAGTATGCATGAGATGGAGGAATGAGATAGCACTTCATTTATTTAAGTGATCTTTTCTGTAAGGTCGGCACTATATATAAAAGTTGGTCAATCATTCAGATATAAAAGGATTAGATGGAATTTATTAATACGTGTTTATACTGACAAAAGTTGGTATTATAGTGAACCGATGCTTTTAGTTAGTAATAGGAAAAAGTGTCAATAAATATTCACTTGGTACTTGCTTTTTTAAAGCAATAAAATGACACCTATTGGAAATCATTTTATTAAATATTTAGATGCGTTTTGTAAATAATTCTTGCTGTTTAACATTCATGGTAATAAAGCTAAATGCCTATTGTTTTTCTTTGCTCTCATAACTATAAAAAATATTGAGCTTAAATAGTGATAACATTTTCTATGTGCATCGTTAATATATTTAAGAGTAATATAAAATTCGTCCAGCCACTAAAATGTTGCACTACACGTGTCATCATAATTGCACTTTATTTCTCTTTGCACTATGCATTTCTCTCTCTCTCTTTAATTTGACTATTTACTCAAAAATAAATATAAAAATTGTTACCGATATTTATTTTGTGAAAACATCTGATTTTTTTTTAAAAGAATTTTGAAATCCAGACCAAAAGTTAATTGCATATAAAACAAATGTATTTTCTTACTAAATATATTATTTGAGCATCACAATAATAGTTCCCGAAGTAACTCGTTCAGGAAACAACGTTAATTCTTAGTCCGTGACCGTTAAAAGCAATTAAATTGGAGTGTTTCTTGAATAAAGGTTGCTTTACTCAACAATGTGTAAATCAATCAACAAATATTAAAAAATATTTTTTTTATTTTATTATTGCAAATGTAATAGTTTTTTTTTTTCATTTGTATATAACTAAGGATTTTCAAAAGAAAAATTGCAGAACTAAATATCTCAAATTTCTCTTTATCACTCTTAAAAAATTCTCATCTTCTTTTCATTCTATAAATTCAAACCAAAATTCATGATTTAATTTGATACCAAATTATCAACAATTCACAAATCCAAATTTTCAAAATTCATGCTTTAACAAAAGTAGTTATTAATAATTTTACTACTTTTTTTATTGTGCCAATAAATTATTTAAATAATAATAAAATAAAAAATTGGTTATTTTTTTAAAAATTAATTAATTTATAAAAAAATAAATTATTTAAATAATGATAAAATAAAAAATTGGTTATTTTTTTTTAAAATTAATTAATTTATAAATAAATTATTATAAATTAATAAATAAAGTTTATAATAAAATATAATGATGTAAACTTTTTGATGGAACCTATTAGAAACATCTAAAGAGAGTTGCTATTGTAGAGATGAAGTGCTTGGAAGTGCTTATATGGGAAAGAGTAAAAATGAGTGATATCTGTTGGTCCCAGTAAAAATACCTAGATGAAATTGCTCCATTGTGAATGCTCTAAGACCTCTGACTAGAAAGTAAAATAGTATCGCAATATTTTTTCATTCATTAATGATAAGTTTTAAAAAGAGATACACTTATATGAATTTTTAACGTAAACAATATTTTTTAAAATTTTTTTTACCAAAATAACATCTGTGCAACTTTATTTACACAACTAGAACCATTTACTGTTCACACTCAGAATTCGGTTCCCCAGGAACCGAATTCTGAGCTTCAAATTTTTTTTCTTCTTTTTTTTGTGCTCAGAATTCGGTTCCCCGGGAACTGAATTCTGAGTTATTTTTAATTTTTTTTTTTTGTTTATGGCTGATTTTTCGCGAGTGTGGGAAGTGGAACGGGCCGTTCTGGAAGCAGAACGACCCGTTCTGCTTAAACACATGGAGTGTTTTTTTTAACATTAGAACGGGCCGTTCCAATTTAAAAAAAAAAACACTCTATGTGTTTAAGCAGAACGGGCCGTTCTGCTTCCGGAACGGGCCGTTCTGCTTCCCAGACTTGCGCAAACTAGCAAAAAACGCAAAAAAAAATAAATTAAAAACAACTCAGAATTCGGTTCCCTGAGAACCGAATTCTGAGCACAAAAAAAAAGAAAAAAAAAATTTTGAAGCTCAGAATTCGGTTCCCGGGTAACCGAATTCTGAGTGTGAACAGTAAACGGTTCTAGTTGTGTAAATAAAGTTATACAGGTATTATTTTGGTAAAAAAATTTTAAAAAAATATTATTTACGTAAAAAATTCACACTTATATAACTTAATAAATGTTAATCATATCAACATTTTATTATTTTAAGAAGAGTAAAATAAAAATAATATAATTATAAGACAAATATCTAAGAGCAATTAATATAGTATTTTAACTATTTTAATTTAAGATATACTTTCTCCTCTTAAACCCCATCCCGATTCCCGACACAATCACGCACAACTTTCATAAATTAAAATAGCAATTAATTCACAAGTTTTATTTACTCCATTAAAATGCTTATTGTGAGAAATAGTTAATTAGTTATTCAAACCTCTCCCCCCCCCCCCAAACACACACACACACACTTTATAATTTCAATCAATCAGCCCATTAGAGTTGGTATGATAATAAAGGATTTGAGTAATTTACATAAATTTTAAGTTGTAACTTGAGTCCCAGTGTTATAAAAATAAAGTTTTAATCAATCGAAATGGAAAACATCAATTGGACAAATAACCTTAAAATGTGAATGGTTAAAAATAGGTAGTGCGTCACCATTCACAAATTCCTTGACATGTGATCTGAATTGAAGATACTTGCAAATTGTGATCAAAAAATGGGAAAAGGAGCTTTACTTAATAGAAGCATAAGTTTAACCGAAAGCTATAGTTGCAGTTGCACACGATACATACAGCACTAATCATCCATGTCAGGCAGTGATGATGATAAAATTAAACAGTAAATAGGAAATTAAAAGGAGTTTTCCTTTATCCTCTATGCATATAAAATGTACAGTGTGATCGCATAGTGATTTGATGAGAACATGGTCATTATTTTGGTTACAAAAATAAAAGAGAAAAAGAAAGGAAGGGACAGTGAGAAATTAAAAGGCAAGTTAGGGAACAGGCGAAACGAGTCCCGGATCTGGTGCGGCAGGATGCACCGCGGGGTCGACGATTCTATCATCAAAGTAATTCTCACCGTTGATCTGATCAAGTACCAAGACCAAGGCCATGGCGAAGGCGGCATCAAAACCGGGCTTAACGCAAAGGCAAAAGACTTCCTTGCCGAGCATAACGCTGGTGGTGGGGTCCACCTTGCGACGAATCTCAGCCACTAATTCCCTGGCCGCATTCAAAACCTTGCAGCACCGCTGCGGGAAACACCCTTCGATGAGGTACTCCACACCGGGGCTATCGTAGACCTCCACCGCCACGCTGCTCCTGGACCGTCCGATGATCGAGGATCTCTTCACGCTGAAGACCGCTTTAGCACCCTCCGTTTTCTCCCCTTTGAACCCTTCCCACCGTTGATGAAGACTCGGTTTCTGTATGTCCAGTGTCCACCCAAAATTAATAATAATCAATGCCCATGTTCATGTTTATGTTTATGTTTATGTTTATGTTTATGTTTATGTTTATCAAAAACAAAAAAAAACATAGGACAGAAAATAGGTTACCTTTCGACGAAGGGTTAGAAGAGAACGGCCATGTGGATCCATGAGGACAAGTTCGTCCTTGTCGCGAGAGCGGGGACCATAGGTGTCGAACCGAAAGACGAGGTTGCCCTTGCAATCGTACACTGTGAAGCCGTCACCGTTGAAGAAGAGAGAGGTTTTCAGCACTGTCAGCTGGGTTTCTTCCTTCAAAACGTACCCTTCTTGCACCACCAACTCCTCCTTCATTCTTCTTCTTCTGTGTGAATGCTTCAACAAATGCAGCGTTGAGAGGGAGATATATATATACATACATATTACATACACGTGTGAGTTAAGAGTGGAGTGTGGAGAAACACCGTCTTCACCTTTTCACATGTGCTGTTCAGTGGGAAAGCACAATCGACTTGAAATGGAAAAAGCAAGGTATCAATGTATCATAAATCATTAAATCTACATCATCATCATCATCATCAATGCTTTTCTCTGCTTATTCTCTATTTTTCCTTTCACTATTATTAGGTTGCTACTACTAATTTACTTGTGGACACCAATAATTCCCTTTGCGTGCGTCTCCTCTATGTTCAACCAATTTCAATATACATATATTTTACGTAAATCACACCACATTTATATATTCCTTTTTTATATTTTAATATGTGGAATATATTTATTTGTTTATTATGTATTATTAAAATTTATAATAAATTATATATATAAATAAGTTTTATGTTATTTTTTTTGTTGAATTCAAATGTGGAACTTTGAAAACATGGTTGTGTATATATTTTATTTTTGTCTATTTGCCATTGCGCTTTTCTTTGCCTTTGCGTTTAGGCTTGATTTTTTCCTGTTTGCGCATTTTGAGACACACGTTCAATGTCTGTTGCGTACTTTTATACTTTGTGATACTCAGACTGAGTTTCGGGGCGGAGTGGATTGCGCTACGGTTCAAACTTGACCTTGAGTTGATCATGCCGAGGTTCGAGCTTGACCTCGAATTTTTGCTAAGTAACTCTCGTGAGGGTTCGAACTCTACCTTGAGTTAATTATGTCGGGGTTCGAATTCGACCTCGGATTTTCGTGAAGGTTCGAACTCAACCTTGAATTAATCATGCCGAGGTTTGAATTCAACCTCGGATTTTCGTGAAGGTTCGAACTCGACCTTGAATTAATCACGCCGGGGTTCGAATTCGACCTCGAATTTTCGTGAAGGTTCGAACTCGACCTTGAATTAATCATGCCGGGGTTCGAATTCGACCTCGGATTTTCGTTAAATAACTCTTTGTGAAGGTTCGAACTCGACCTTGAATTAATCATGCCGGGGTTCGAATTCGACCTCGGATTTTCGTGAAGGTTCGAACTTGACCTTGAATTAATCACGCCGGAGTTCGAATTCGACCTCGAATTTTAGCAGAGTGAATTGTACGAAGGTTCGAACTCGACCTTGAATGAGAGCGAAATAAGTTGGTTCGAACTCGACCTCTATTTAGCATAAAACATAAAATGATGCGGAACTTAAGAAAATATGAGTTGAACAGAATGAGTCATTTTATTGATTGTGTAAGTGTGCCTCGTTAAAAACCCTCTCAGCCAAAACCCATTTTTCTATTTTTTGGGATAAAAGACTGAGGCGGGAAAAGAGTGCACAGTTCATTCGTACAAATTTAGTTGAAATAGAACTTGAGATGCGTAGCATTCCAAGTTCACGGTATAGGTTTTCCGCTGAGCTCTTCTAGTCGGTACGCTCCATTTTCCAAGTCTTCTGTAACTCGAAATGGGCCACCCCAAGTGGGTGCAAGCTTCCTATCTGACGTGTCTTTCCGTGCTTCACCTAGCAATCACCATACCAAGTCGCCAACTCGGAAAGAGCGAGGTCGCACCCAGGTGTTGTATCTTCGGGAAGCTCGGAGTTTGCAGGCTTCTTCGTAGATTTGAGCTTCGTCTCTAAGCTCGTCAATCAAGTCGAGGTCGGCTGCTATCTCTTGAGCGTTTTGCTCGCTGTTGAAAACTTGGCGCCGGTGGGATGTTTCTCCGACTTCCACTAGGATCATTGTGTCAGTTCCATAGGTCAGGCTATAAGGTGTCTCTTGCGTGGTTGATTGGGGGGTGCAATGATACGCCCAGAGGATGTTGGGAAGCTCGTCGGCCCATTGTCCTTTGGCGTTTCCCATCCGCTTCTTAAGTTCCCGAAGGATGACCTTGTTGGCTGCTTCAACTTGGCCATTGGTTTGGGGGTGTTCCACCGAGGTTAGGAGATGTTTGATACCGAGCTCGCGGAGGAAGTCCTCGAATCCCTGTGCTATGAATTGCCGGCCGTTGTCAGTAACGAGGGTGTGAGAGATTCTGAATCTGCAAACAATACTCCTCTAGGTGAACCTTTGCACATTTTCGGTGGTGATTTTGGCGAGTGGGCATGCCTCGATCCACTTGGTGAAGTAGTCGATCGCCACTAGGAGGAACTTAAGCTGACCTTTCGCAAGGGAGAATGGCCCGAGGATGTCCATTCCCCACTGTGAGAAAGGCCATGCCGACATCATATGGTGGAGAGCTTCGGGCGGTTGCCGGTGTGTGTTGCCGAACTGCTG